CCCAGCCTGACATCATGGCTCGGTATAGTGACTTTGCTGACAGCGTTAAACACCAAAGGTACTTGGAGTTGGCCATGGTCTTTGATCATGATAGATATCTGTATTTGAATTCCAATCTTAGTCAAGCAATAGATGATGCCATTCTTATGGCTGGGGTGATAGATACTTACTATCAAGAGATCAGTCTGAGAATACATCTAAAAGGTGTTGAAGTATGGACGACTACAAACAAAGTAAGACTTTCATATGATAAAATAGTTTCGGCTTTAACCCAGTTTAGGGCATACAGAACACATGCCCTAAATTCTAAGATCCCGGCAGACTGGGAACACATATACATTCAAGGAAACTTTACCGATCACAATTCATGGCACTGGGGGAAAGTGTGTGGTAAGCAGTTTGTCGGATCTGGAAGTGTTATTATAGATAGGGATCTCCTTTTACCTGCCATTTGGACTACTCATGAAATAGGCCATAGTGTGGGAATGGAGCATGACACGCAGTACTGCCAATGTAGGGGGCAGCACAGTTGCATCATGGGCACCGGACGCACTGGGTTTAGTAATTGTAGCTACAACGATTATATAAACTACGTACGTCAAAAAGCAACATGTCTGACTGACATCCCAGGACTAGGGTTTGTGGTTAAGAAATGCGGAAACAAAATTGTGGAAGACAATGAGGAATGTGACTGCGGTTCGAGAGAGGACTGTGAAAAAGACCATTGTTGCGAACCAGATTGTAAATTCAAACAGGGTGCCACGTGTAGCACGGGACTTTGCTGCCACAAATGTCACTTTCGTCCATCTGGGTACATGTGTCGGGAGGAAGAAAACGAATGTGACCTTGCAGAGTACTGCAATGGGACCTCGAGCTTCTGCCCAAATGACATGTATAAGCACGATGGCACCCCGTGCAAGTATGACGCCCGTTGTTTCCAGAAGGGGTGCTGGTCCGCATATGTGCAGTGCCAGCGCATTTTTGGATCTGATGCCAGGGAGGCTCCAGATCAGTGCTACGAAGCAGTTAATTTAATAGGGGATCAATATGGCAACTGTGGTATCATTGCAGTCGCTCAGTATGAAAAGTGTACCAAGCAGAATTCCTTATGTGGCCGACTGCAGTGTATAAATGTCCCAACCCTCCCTGACATGCCAGATCACATGAGTGTGGTTTCTACTCATCTGCAGAATGAAAATCTGTTGTGCTGGGGCCTAGGCTACCATCCGGCCATGGTATCCATGGGGATTCCTGACTTGGGTGTAATCCATGATGGCACCTCCTGTGGCAAGGGCCAGATGTGCTGGAACAGAACTTGTGTGGATACTTCCATCCTGAAGATTGACTGC